TTTGCCCTTGGCAAGGTCCTTGTGCCAGAGAGTGGTTACTGGCATGGACTGGGCCTCAAAAGCAACAACCTCACGACTTAGTGTGTCGTATGTTATATTAGGCTGTTGCTTCCTTGTGAAGAAGTGTCCGTGCAAATTCTCGGGCATGGCGCGGTACAAGACCTGGACAAGTTGAGTCTCAGTGATCCCATGTTATGGAATGGCAACAACCTCATCCATAGCGGCTTTGAGTGCACGTGCACTCCTCCAGTGTCGAGTATGGATCATTTGGAGTTTCCTTGACATCTGAATGCCCCTAGTGACGTTTGCAAAGCGTTCGCGGAGAGTGAACAAAAATTCGCTTAGATTAGTAATGGATGAATATGTGACCATATCGTTGTCACACTTAGCAGTGTGTGCAAGCGACCTAGAAAAACTGGCCGCTTCTTCATTCAGGGCTTGGAAGGCCACAAGAACGTGATTTTCTGGCGCGATATCTTGTAAAGACAAATAGGACATTTCGTGCCTCCTCTCCCTTCTTCCCACCATAGGGTTCAGGGAATCTAACCATCACGCGTTCACAGTGCGATCGTGCCTCCTCTTCCTTGAGAGTGGCCATTTCGGCGCCTTCTATGGCACCAATACAAAACTTCTTTGTTGCGTATCGCTGGAGATGCAAAGCATCATGTCTCACACAAAATCCTTAAAGCCTAAGCGCATGGACTGCAGGGCAATATCAAGGCCCTAAGGTGACGCAACTTCTCTTGTTGTGCTTTCAGCATGGCAGTCGCGTTCTGGGAGATGGCCTTTACAATCCTGTTAGTATCCACCTGTTCCCCAAGCATCTCCAATCGCTCTTTAGCATCCCTCAGTTCTCTCTCCATTCTCTTTGCCACCTCCAGTTGCCTCGTTCTCTCCCTCACGAGGCGCAGTTTCCATTCCAACTGCTTTTCTTCTTCCTTGGCTTGTCGACGAAGGAGATCCTCCTCCCTTGCCAATTCCTGCTGCACCGCTTCTCTTTCTGCCTGAGGGACAATATTGCTCCTCATTCTCCCCCAGGGCTAGGTTGCCCACCCATTTCGTAACCATCGTCTCCACCTCTACCTCTCTGGCCCGGCCACCAGTAGATTCCCCTTGCTCTGTAGTTCTCGCCGTTCTCTCCAGAGGAACCTCTTCTTCTTCTTCTTCTTCTTCTTCTTCTTCTTCTAAGGTTGCTGCTGCTTCCTCCTCTTTCTAGAACCCTTTCAGTTCTTCCTCCAATTCTTTTTCCTTCTTGGCCTTCTTTGCCAAGATGGCCACCTTCTTGGCCTTCTTCCCCAACTCTTTCCTTCTTGGTCTTCCTCCCCAACTCTTTCTTCTCTTTCCTCGCCCTCTGTTCTGCAAGGATCCAGGCGGCTTGCTTCTCCTGCTCCATGTACGGGGAGGTCTTTGTAACACTCTTAGTAGTGACTCTACAAGTCTGGAAAGAAGAACTGACATAGGGTCCCCCACAGGAAGAACGCCACGAGCAAGGAGTACATCGAATAGTCATCCATGGCGGTAGGTTCACAACCCAGTGGCAGTTCCGCTCCTCACCACTTATTAGCCTTATCCACACACTGACTGACCGACTCTTTAAGGACCGTAGAGTCTTTCCCTTTGTTCAAGCCAGGTTACCACAGCCGCCGGAAGCTTTCACCACCGCTGTCACCGAACCTTTCCACGATCCAGGTGCTCGCACCCACGATAAAACCCACCAGGTTTTCACTCTGGGTCAGAACTCTGTCATCTATGGTCTTTAGCCTAGTCTACTCTAAGGCTGTCACTATAGGACTCTGCTACTGATCAAGAGGCAGTTAAGGAGATCCCCATAACTCCTCAGGAATTCCTTAACGTCACAGTCAGGACGGCGTGATCAGCAAAGTCCTCTCAAGACTTAGACAGTTGGGCGCACATCCCATAGCTCAGAGTTCGGGCCTACCGCGCCACACTGAGCAGCTCGCAGGTCAGTACCGGTCCTTGGGGTCTTGTCTCCGGGACATGTCAATCGTTAGGTGCAACCTTTAGCCTTACTAAGACCCGTGTGGGCTTGGGCTCTCAGCTCTATGACCACATCCATAGTCCTATCACCTGGACAAAAGTGACTCAATGCAGAAAGAAGAGACAGACTGACGCTCAGCACGTACCAAGGTTTTGTGTACATCCACAGGGTGAAGGGATAGGCCAATGATTGGAGAGATTATACCACGCTCCAGCTTGGTCAATTGGTTGGTCAACAGTCTTGGTCAAACTTAGTCAGCACCAAGCCAACGCAGGTCAAACTTGGGCATCCTCGGGTCAAACTTCAACGGTCAACTATTCGAACTCCTAGCTATGGCCGTCGACCGTTCTTCTTCGTCAACCTCTCTCTTTCCCCCCTTCGTCTTCTTCTCACCCACCCTATGGCTCGTCTCTCCTAACTCCTACTTTCTTTCTCGCATCCAAGCTCGGTGGCTGGAGCCGCCACTTCTTCTTTCTTCCTTGCACATCCAACTTCTCCTCTCTCTCTCTCTCTCTCTCTCTCTCTCTCTCTCCCGTATCGTCGTCGTCTTCCCCTCCACGATTTTTGTGGCGACCTCCCTCTTTGTGGCAGTCTTTTTCTTTGGCGCGCAGCGATCTTCTTCGATGATCATCCTTCCTGCCAGCGATGGCGGTATTCAGCGACGAGCGCAGATGGCGAGCGTGCACCGACGCGCTATCAGTAACAGCGTGCAATCAAGCGGTGGGTGCGTGCAGGGCGCGTGCAACAACAACGCACACGCGTTCGACGGCAAGTAGCAGCTACGAGCGGGAAACCTCGATGCACGTGGCGAGGCGCGCGCGCGGCTAACAGCAGGGTGTTCGTGAAATAGATGGCATTTTCGGACTAAGCTCATAAATAGCGCGTAGGAAACAGCGGCGCGCGGCACGAGCGCACAGCAGAACGGGCACGCAGCGGGAACGACATGCGTGGGCTCGCGCAATATGGCGCGCGATATTAACGGTGTCGTGCAATCAGGGCGCAATTCGCTCCTCCTTCGTTCAGTCTCGGTGGCAATGGCAATGATGACGATGATGGCGCCAATCGTGATGATGACAACGACGGTCGCGATCGCTGCAACAACGGGAGAGCTGGAACTAGCTCCGATACTAGTGCAATCAGACTTGGCTCAACTCGTTTCAGTGTGCACACAAACAGATGACGAACGAACTTGGCGCACAGCGCCCACACAAAGCTCAGAGATAAAATGTGACCAGGAACACAGCTCAGATTCAAACTTGTCTTGATTGGCTACGGCGCATAGCGCCAGACAATGATTCCCACCCGATCAACTGTATCCACCAGGAACTTATTCGCACACACACACACACACTCGGATCACCCTGGATGTCCCACACGAATACACACACCACACACACTGACTCTATCTCTCTCCTACAGGGCAGATATGGTTGCCGTCTACCTCCTATGCTAACTCGCAGCTATGGCCGCGTCTCCCTCCTCTTAGCCCTCTTCTTCCTCGGGCACCTGCAGACCTCTGTAGCACTAGACGCTCCGACAGCGCTTCCGCACGGTGCACAGGCAGAAAGAATGAATGACTTGAAGCTGCCTCTTTATTTATACTTTGGATCGTCATTGGTCTGCCCTTCAACCCAGGGCCCAGGATGTACACAATCCCGCATGGTACTTGTTGACACGACAAAGTGCACCGTGGGACTGGGTACCGCTGACTGTACTAGGTAGGACTGGGACTGCCGTTTGCTGATTGTGCTAGGACTGCCCCTTGCTGACTCGACGACAGACTGACCCCAACAACCTACGAAGAGCCAGTTCCTGAGCTTCTGGAAGGTCGTAGACTTAACCTTTCGAAACTGTATCAGCTACGACCTACACTCAGCTAACTATTGCTAATGCTAAGGTCTATGCGTCAAACCCACACGACCGTACTACATAGAGCAGCCAAACATACGACTATCAGGAAACAGGTCGCGGGTTCAAACACACTGGTCAACGGGTACTATATATGGGTAAGGGGATAGGTCTAGGGATCGAACTTTGGGTTCTGCAGTCGTCACCAATGTAGGTGAAAACCGTTTCATCTTTCTTTTTCTTTTTTTTTTGGGGGGGGGGCACCGAAGTTGCTACCAAATTACTGAATATAACGCCCCGGCAACATAAACGAATATAACGCCCACCCGACATTATATTCGTATACAATCCCTAGGTGTTACTTTCGCGTGAACACGATAGCTTCTTTCCATGTCCATTATAATAAACTCCAAAAAAACAAGATCGTCTTTTTTGTCAAGTTGCGATAGCGAACATGATAGCACACACACACGCTCACACGCACGCACGAATTTAAGCGAAAACACACACACACACAGAGGCACGCATGCAAATGCGCACACACACACACACACACACACACACACACACACACACACGCTCGCGCGCGCGCAAAAAACACACACTGCATGACATGCGCTTTTTTTTTCCTTTTGTCCCCGATCAATCCATAATCAATCATTCAATCACTCGCTCAAACAATCAATCAAACCATTGATTTGTAATGACCCGCCATAACACAGACTTAGAACACTGCTGATTTCTGAAGTTCTGCCGATGGAATGGATGCCTTGCTCAGATTCCCTCATTCTGCTGAGTTTTCTAAGTCTGTATGCGCTTGTTGACCTGCGTGCCTGTCTGAGTGCTTGTCGGCATGAGTGTGTGTGTGACCCGCGAGAGAAGGTTAACAACAGTCGTATTCTTCATCACCACTTCAGGACACCCTTCACCACTTCAGGATGCAGCCTGCCTAAACAGGTGGTTTTCAGGGTCTTCGGACCTTTCACCACTTCAGGATGCAGCCTGCCTAAACAGGTGGTTTTCAGGGTCCGAACCACTTCAGGACCATTCAAGTCTGAAAATCGTGAATGGTCCTGAAGTGGTGAAAGGTCCGAAGACCCTGAAAACCACCTGTTTAGGCAGGCTGCATCCTGAAAGCGGTGAAGGGTGGTTTTCATGGTCTTCGGACCTTTCACCACTTCAGGACCATTCAGGATTTTCAGATTGCCCAAAACTCACACTTGACCACTTCAGGACACTTCACCACTTCAGGATGCAGCCTGCCTAAACAGGTGGTTTTCAAGGTCTTCGGACCTTTTACCACTCCAGGACCATTCAGGATTTTCAAACTGCCCAAAACTCTCACTTCAGAATTTTCATTCCAGAATTTTCAGCTACCCGATAACTGCTTGTGTGACCCGCAAGGGTACTTGCTTGTTTGGCAGGCCCGTAGGGTCGGTACTTACCTGTGGTCGTGGCATTGAGGGTTGCAGCCGGGGAAAACACTCAAGTGGCGGAGCCAGAGGCCCGCGGCACTTGAGCAGCGGAAAAACACTCAAGTGGCAGGTAGGCATGGTAGGCCGGTACCGCACCCAGTAGCAGGAGATGTGCCGGGTACTCGAGGCCGAGCAGAAGAAGACAAAGTTGGCATTTTCAGAGGCCGAGTAGCGGTAGGCTAGGTCTAGGCCGGTGCCAGTCCATCAAGTCTGAGTCTAGAGCCTGTACGGGCAATATCAGAGTCTGCAATGATGTTTCCCTCCTTGGGAGGCCGAGTGGCCTGGAAGTCACCGCCCAGGAGGGAAGTAGGCCACTATATCAAGAGGCCGAGGGAAGAGCCCGGCCTCATTCTTCAGTGTCAAGTTTGGCGACACGCTGCTGGAGCGCTGGCTGGAGTAGCGCTGGGTACTACAGCTGCTGGGAGGAAGAAGCCAAGAGCTTCCACCTTGGCTATGGTGGAGCTCTACCGATAGGAGGAGGAGGGAGAAGGGGACCAAGGACGACAAGTGGCGAGGTACTTGCTTGGCTAAGGTGGACACCATCGTCATCACCTTGTTAGGCGCTGCATCTGGAAGGGCCCAGTTGGGTGTAGTGCCGCACCAAGGAAGCTCAGGGCAGAGATAGGCATGGCGGCCTAATGAGCAGCGGCATAGCTGGTTTGCGTTGTCCTTCGCACAGGGAGGCAGCGACATAGCTGCTTTGGGTTGTCCTTTGGAC